CAGAATGTCTGTTTGTGTATGAATTCATTTGTCACGGCTACCAAACTTTGCGAATTATCAGTGAAACAAAACAAACAGACGGGATAATAATTGAACCAGATCAGGATCATATCGTTGTTGAATTTACGTGCAAAATTTGTATGCGGATCCCGATTATTGCCTAAGAAAACATAGCTAGAGTTGCGACAGAGTTGCATTGTCTTCAGTTTATCAAGTTTATTCAGTGAAATCGCTGGATAAATTTATCAGAAATGTGTAAACGAGTTTCCATACAAATTTTGACAGTTCATTTATAAGGTTTACACAATTATAAGTTTATACGGCTTACAATGCATTTATAATATTCAATTAAAATAATTTATTTCTTTCTTGTTTGAAAGCTAGTTTATTAATTATCAGAGAATTGTCTTTTCTAATGCCAAACGAATTCATAGAACAATAAATTTAACTTCAAGAATTTAAACAAGTGTAAAAACAGTTTAATTATCCTACAGTAGCTTTATACACCCTTGAGGAAGGCACCTGTGCTGTTATTTAATGGCCTTCCTCAGACTTTTTCTCAGATTTGGGTTGTGTGCTGCATTATTATTACGTCGTTTAAAGTGCAAAACCGCGTAACAAAATGCAAAACCGCGTATCGGCAAAATGCAGAACCGCGTATGTGAAGTTTTAGAAATCATTTTCTAGAGTGTAAAAACACCCATATTTCAAAATGGTTCTCTTTTTTATAAAGAAATCGCACTTCTGGCTAGTATATTTCAGGACGAATGGATAAGGATTGAGCCAAGAGCTTGTGTGAGCAAATCCAATTTTTGGCAGCCAATGTCAGTTACGCGTTTTTTTTTATAGAGAAATCGCACTTCTGGCTAGTATATTTCAGGACGAATGGATGAGGATTGAGCCAAGAGCTTGTGTGAACAATTCCAATTTTTGGCAACCAATGTCAGTTACGCGGTTTTGCAGAATGACGATACGCGGTTTTGTACTTTAAACGACGATTAGATAAATAAATTTAAGCATTAGACAAATCGTGATTTTATTAAAATCAAATTTATAATCTTATTACATTAAACGAGCAATTCTTATATATATATATATATATATATATCCATAGCATCCTCGGAAATGGCTCTAACGATTTTGATGAAATTTTGTACCCAGATAATATTTTGGATTTTAAGGTTATCGAAATAGGCACCATCTCCGAGAAGACCCTTCCGAAATAAGTTATAAATTAATTAAAACATCATAATATCAAATGGAAGGTATTTTTAAAATCCCTAAATCAAAATATTTTAATAGGGTTGCCATCTATTTTCAATCGCACATTTATTTAATTTTTTGTTTAGAAAAAGTTAAAATATTACTTATTAAATTAAAATTGAAATTAAATATTAAAATAAAGTTCATGGGTACCTAGAGAAGGTTCTTAAACAATGTTTTCCCTATATACAAAATGCTTTCCCTCCGGATAATAGTATAAGGTTGCCACATATATTCGATTTTACACAATTTATCTAAAACATCGCAATATGTATATCAAATGAACGTGTTTGTTGAGATCTTTGGTCAGAAAATATTTTCCATCAGGGCTGCCTATGTAATACATTTTTTTTTTGTTAATTTCAATCAGCATTTTTTTATGTATATACAGTACATATATGCTCAAGGTATGTACATTCCAATCCAGCGTATTACGGAATAGGGTTTCCACCTAAATTTTGGAGTAATAAGAAAGTTACTTAATAGATATCGAAATCCATTTTTTTCCAAAATATTTTTTTAAAGCTATCCAAATCCTGAAAACTTTAAAAAGTATATACATTCCGGGCAAAGCTCAGTCAACCTGGTACTTATAAATGGTGTTGAAAAACCAAACACTCGTGCGAAAGCTCTATTTTTGTGTTGTTAAAATTTATACATGGCGATATTGATGGAAATACAAGCAATGTATTAATTTGTGGATTTGATGTTACTTAAGAATTTAGGCAACTTGCGAGCTGCCAGGTTCTGTTATCAATATAATTAACACAAGCTTTTGCGTGTGGTTGCATTTCAATAAATAGAATAAACAAATATTCGCAAATAAATTTGATTTTTTTTTTTTTTTTGATTTGATTAAAGTTTCTAGACTCCGTTTTGATTTTGACTCTTTACCGCCAAAGAACCTTATGTCTATACATGTTTACAAGCTGTCAAAACTTTGCGTAGTCCCGCGAGCTAGGTGAAAATTATGGCGTTCGTATTGACAACGAGAAATCTCAAAATTTTTGTTTGATCTTTCCAAATTTTCTCTTTATCAGTTGACAAAGGCAGCTGGGCAGTGGCAGCTCTCCGATCGTTGAGATAGTAATTTCATGTCAATTAGTAGAAAATTTCCATGGTGAAAAAAACTTTTTATTATGGAGGGAAAATTTTACATTTCTGCTGTGCCAATACGTAACTTTTTACTTCTAGAAATCTTTGAGAGTTGCTCTGGTCAAAAGAAGTTGAGCAATTAAAATGCAGCAATTATACAAAAAATACTTGACTTTACTGACTTTGATTCTTCTACAACTGAAAGCCATGCATTTATTAGACGTCTTATTAATAACATTACAACAAAAAAATACTTCAAAACCGTCAGATAGATATAAATAACTTAGTAAATGTTGGCAACCCTATCCTGTGGCTCTACAAGCTTAGCCGTAGTGGTTCAATTGTTAGGGTTAGCGGGTTGGAGGTGCATGCGAAAAGACATCCCGGCCCCCATTTCAATTTTTAACTGAATCCATCGTAGTCCGATTTTCGTGAAATCTACGAAAATGCGATAAATTCTGGCCACGCCCACTTTTCGTTTCCTCTAGTTCAACGGTTCATATTCTGCATTCATGCTGTTATTTACTTACCGATTGGCTCTTATTTTAGGCGATTAGTAATCATAAAATACAGTGAAAATTTAGTAAATTACCTAAAATATTTTAGGAACAATAAAATTTATAATACAAAAATTTAACCCATATGAATACATAAATGCTTAAAGTTTAATCGCTTTTCTCGTCCAACAACTTAAACTGTGGAATTATTTCATTTTGTCTCAACCAAAGAGGACTAACTAACATCTGTGATTTAATGAACTCCGATGCCTTGAAGCAATAGGAACTGCAAAACTTTTTACGATCTGTTATGTCGTATACCTTATTTTTGGTTACTGATATTTGATATTTTTTTGTAGGCACGCTAAAAAGAACATATTATTATCCCCAAAGTTTGAATATTGTTTATTAAGACTTACTTTTCCATTTGTTTTCCACACAATGGATATCCACACAAAAGAAGAATATGTCGCTCGTCAACCACATCACCGTAATGACATTGATTTATATCCTTTAACTGAAATTAAAAAATACAAAAATATTACTTTTTACTAACAGTCAAAGCTAAACTCATGCCGTCTAATTTATTTTTCTGCATTACCCGAAATTGGCTTGCGTGCGTCAAATCAAAATCTAACGCAGAAAAAATTTTGGAATGAATTTTGTGACCACGGCAGCGACAGCATGAATTTGTTTGAGTTTGACATAAACGAAGAAGAATCTTATCTATCGCTAGAAAAATGGAAATAGATCTAATCTGCCACAGCTACTACATTTTTGGCTAGTCGCGGGATTGCCGTGTCGTCGCCGAAATCTACACAAGAGTACGTGTTAAAATAATTTAACAGCAGTGGCCCGTCGTTTCCAATGCATGAACGAACGACACAAGATCACCCAAGAACAAGAGTGAAAAAGTCGATTTTTTAGCGGGTTCTACGCCATCTTGTTTCGCTGGAAACGAAGGAAAAGCAAAGCAAAGAAAACATCGAAAACCAAAATTATTGTCAGCCACTTTAAACACACAATTTAGGTAAAATTATTAAATAAATATTCTTTAGTTAAAGAAAAGTGTAAAATACTGGTGCTTGTGATGCGAAAAAATGCTGATGAGTCCGCTTTCACAAACTTTTTTCTCTGAACCAGTTTCAAATACAGGATGGTTCCGTGCGCAGAAGTGGAAAACTTTAGACTGTCTTTCATCTGGGAGTGGCCAGAAGTGATCCTTGCGTGCGTACGGTTCAAATCGCAGCTCACAACGTCCGCATATTTATATCCACGTATCCTCTGGGTAGAAACCAAACACCCGTTTGGAAGCGAGTTTGGGTCCCGCCATGTTAAAACCCCTCCCAATGAAAAAGTTCAGAAAGCTTCGGATGATACCCCCTTTTTTTGATGACGACCACGGCAAACGTATAAAGGATTATGATTTGAGGGTGCGCACCTGGAATATCCGGACCCTTAATGGGGAAGGTGCCTCTGCCCGGCTAGTTGATGTGCTCGGGAAGATAAAGAAATGCGATGGACGGAGCAAGACAAGGTAAGTGTGATTCATTTGTTGCAAAACCGCACCGACTGCTATATTCGATGCATCGACAGCAAATGATAATTTACCATTTTTATCAAAATGAGTGAGTAAAGTTTTCTGTGTAAAAAGTTCCTTCACATTTTCAAAAGCCATAGTTTTATTTTCTGTCCAATTTAATTGTCTAAGTTTATTTTTGGTTACTAATGTTAACATCTCGTGCAGAGGACTAAGTTCTGCTGCTAACATTTTAACGTATCTATGGTAATAATTAACCATACCTAAAAACTTTTGTAATTTATTTATTGAAAGTGGATTTTCAAAATTTACTATTGCTTCAAATCGTTCGAAAGAAGGTCTGATGACACTGAAGATGGCACAATGGCACAATGCCGAAACCGGTTTGTCTGCAAACCAAACTTGACAAGGGATGACGGAAATTCGTTCCAAAATGAATCAAGGTCTGATTCCTTCGTTTGAAATTTCATAACTAAGAAAATCTAATGCATTTACTAGGTTTAATATTCAAACTATACTTTCCAAGTCTTTCAAATACAGATTTTAAATGCTCAATATGTTGATCTTCATTATCACTTGCAACAAGAATATCGTCAAAAATACTTCGTTAATGAAACGTTGAAATGTTTGTGCACTATTTCGTGGTCCCAAAGGCATCCGTACGAACTCAAACATTCCAAACGGTGTAGTAATTGCTGTTTTATGCATATCTTCTTCAGCCATCAGTATTTGATGATGTGCACGAACAAGATCAATTTTTGAAAATATTTGATTGTTCTATAAATCAATAGTCAAATCGTGAATGTGAGGTAACGGATAACGATCAGGAATAGTAATGCAATTAAGTCTTCTATAATCTCCACAAGGTCTCCAATCATTGGGTCCTTTTTATGAACTAAATGTAAAGGGG